AAAATATTTGGAAACTCAAATTACAGATACCTAATCCAAAAATCCAAAGTTATCTCACATTGTCTACATGCAATAAAGCTCCACACACTACCAAAATCTCCTCATTACAAATATCTAAGCAAAGACCATCACCCTCATCAAAATACACACATTAGATTCTCACCACTAGTAATGCAAAACTACAAATTTGTACATTTTCCCAATTTTATGTCCTAAAAATTATACAGCCATTCATAATATACTGAGTTTCTCGCCCATAAATTAGGCAAGTACACCACCAAATTACACACAAGTATAATCACCCCACAATTCTCATTCATGAAAATCACACACACACACACACACACACACACACACACACACACACACACACACACACAAACACACACACAGTTACATAATTGTTGAATACAATTTAATAATAAAATATTCTTTGTTTTAAATTCCTTTTTCTGATCTGATTTTCACAGAATGGTTTTTTATTATTTTTATTGCCACACTTAAGGTCCAAATGGAGATAAAATGCTGACTTTTAAAGGCCAGTTATTCAAATGTGAAAAGTCACAGACATCAATAGCAACTAAAAGAACTACAACACTACAACATGTACGTTATATTTATGGCTTATATCTTTGCTTACATGTCAAAAGTTGCCCATTTTCAACAACATGAGAAATTTGTTTGCTAAACTGAGCAATGATTTCCAACACTTAGGAAGTTTCCTGAGAATGTAGGGGGCACAGCTGAGGTACACTTTCAAAGTTCACACTTCATTTATTATCTCTGCCCATCCACCCCAACACACACCGCAAAACCCAGACAGCCTACAGAATGATGTTAAGAATCCCTGGTCTGGGCACTTGCCAATGCCAGTAATATAAAATCTCCCTGGTTTCAGGCCAGCCTCGGGAGGGTCACACTGCCAGCAAAATACCAAGAAATAACTGTCAAGGGCCAGAAACAGTGGTGACTGAATTTCCAGGAATTTAGTCCCGAATTTCCATTACCTATTTTATGTAACAGATTCTGGACACTGCTATATTCGCCAAAAGTTGAGAGGTATGCTTGCTCTAGCATTCACCATGCTCGCGCCAGCGAGCTTGTGCTGTGCTAAGCACTTGTGTCAGAGAGAGCTCATAAGGAACAGATGCAGGTAGCAGAGGGAGGCTGGAGGAGCTTGCACTGGAACTCCAATAGCATGTGCAAACAGGAGTACTGAGGTGAAGCATAGAGCTTTGCAGGAGAGGAAAATAATGTTTGTGGAGTGCTGCCCACCACCTGCCTGGCCTCCTCACAGAACCTGGACAACCATCCCTTCTTAAAAGCAGGGATTACAGACCTTCCATCCATGTACGTAGCATTCTTACCCTAAGCTGTTAAAGAGGTTTAGTTCTTCAGATGGCATTTGTTTCCTTTGAACTGTTCAAAAATAGTAGCATGTCGTCTACCATACTTTCTGAAAGCTCCCATGAGGAACAAAGGTAGCCAAAATTAAAAAAAAAAATATGACCCAGGAGACACTCTGAGAAAAGATTTTCCTAGACTCTACATCTAGGTCCTTCCTACAACATCAACTATGTTAAAATCTTTTTCACAAGGAGAGCTCTGATAATAAAAGTCAGTTCACAAATGTTTCTTATGAAATCGGTGTCATCCTACCTTTTAATTGAGACTTGATAGTCTGGGTCCCACTTAACCTCTCTTCTTGGGCCAAACCCCTGCCAAAGCAGGAACACTACTGACTCCTACCAAGGAGGTAAGGCTTGCACTCAGCAATTTCTGTGGCACCTCTCTGGAATCTCAGTCCACCTCCCTCCTCAACCATTTCTTAGCAACCCTTCCTGTCACGAGATGAGACGCAATGTTTACTTAGGAACCAGAGCACCTTTCTTTAAAGGGGTGCTACAACCGGGTCCCCACTGAAAGGCACCTGCACTTTCAGTTACGATGCTGTTTCATCATCAGAAAATATCACAAATCAAATGCATATTTAATTTACCAAACCTTGAAGCATTGTACCTAGCCTGACCCACCTTATTCATGTTCAGAAAAGACACTATCCTACAATGGAGAAAAATTATCTAATGCAAAGTTCTTTTTATGATAGAATATCAAACATTTCATGCTACTGAAAGCCTCCACTTGTTGTCTTCTCAATTCGTGTCAAAAACTCACAATATGAAAGATGCAAACAGCTTACCACAGTGTAGAACATTTGGGCATTTTACCCAACAGGCATTGCAATGTCATCTCCAGTCTGTGCTATGGTCATACAAATGCAAATATTTTTTGTTATGGGTGATTTTGCTTTAGCATCCAAACATTAACAATTATATCAATCAGAGATGCAACAAGGAAACATGATTGCAAGGACACCGGCACATAAAATCTAAAATGGACGCATACAGCTAGTGAATCCAGGATCATATTGGTGATAAGAAAGAGGTGGGCACATGCACACGTCCACCTTCCTCCTCAACCATTTCTTAGCAACCCTTCCTGTCACGAGATGAGACGCAATGTTTACTTAGGAACCAGAGCACCTTTCTTTAAAGGGGTGCTACAACCGGGTCCCCACTGAAAGGCACCTGCACTTTCAGTTACGATGCTGTTTCATCATCAGAAAATATCACAAATCAAATGCATATTTAATTTACCAAACCATGAAGCATTGTACCTAGCCTGACCCACCTTATTCATGTTCAGAAAAGACACTATCCTACAATGGAGAAAAATTATCTAATGCAAAGTTCTTTTTATGATAGAATATCAAACATTTCATGCTACTGAAAGCCTCCACTTGTTGTCTTCTCAATTCGTGTCAAAAACTCACAATATGAAAGATGCAAACAGCTTACCACAGTGTAGAACATTTGGGCATTTTACCCAACAGGCATTGCAATGTCATCTCCAGTCTGTGCTATGGTCATACAAATGCAAATATTTTTTGTTATGGGTGATTTTGCTTTAGCATCCAAACATTAACAATTATATCAATCAGAGATGCAACAAGGAAACATGATTGCAAGGACACCGGCACATAAAATCTAAAATGGACGCATACAGCTAGTGAATCCAGGATCATATTGGTGATAGGAATGAGGTGGGCACATGCACACACAGAAATCAGTATTGGACAATGGCAAAGGGAACCCTGGCTTTGTCAAAATGTACACAGGTAATGGGTTTCTATGCCTGGAAAATGGGGTCCCTGAGCCTCTGTGTCTTTAAGTAGAAGGATGTTTTCTCTCTTCCTGTCCCTCTCATTTAACCCTGTTCCCATTGAGGAGTTTAGGAGGGATAATTTGTCACATAAGCTTACACATTATTTTTTGTAGTGGAGAAAAGATTTTTAATTGTCAAATATCTGTTTGCAATAAAAGGACTAAATACCACCGATGCAAAGAGAAGTTTTTTTCAATTTTGAGTCCCATGGGCTACTTATGCAGAACAAAGCCTTGATGGGCTGGGGAGTCTAGCAAAAGGGTGACTGAGACTGTCATGCTGCAGGGTGCAGACATCCCAGCACTGCCCTGGCTGGACACACAAGGACTGCTTCATGAAGAATGATAAGCACACGGCAGGATGATCCAAGGATCTCCCAAGATCATAATTACAAATATGTCTGGCTCTGTTGCTTAAATCATCTATATTTGTCTGAATATATAATTGGTTGAGTAAGTGTAAACATTATAAAAATACTCAAGAGCCTACCCTCTGTAAGAGTGATGGGACTCAGGATGGAGGAATAAAACAAGGTCTACTAAAGACAAAATGAAGGAAGAGGGCACCTGTGACTCCAGTGTGTTGAGACTATAAGAAACCATTAAAATGTGCCTAGAGGCAAATACCATGTATGTGCAATCACCTCCGATAAGGATGCATCATTTGAACTGACCCCAAGGTTCTCATGCACATGCCACAACACCTCACGGAATGTCCCCAGCCCTGTTTTACTCTCTGCCCCTCCCCCACTGTAGAATTCTCAATGCCACATTCTGGAGCAGTTTGCTTTCAAACTTTTCAAAGCTGTGGCTGGCGCTCTTGAGCCTCTGGCACATATTGGTGATCTTGGAGAGATTCCTCTGAAATTGATCACCATGGATCCTAGCAGACAGTTGTGGTTACTGTCCAAGCCTGTAGGAAGAACTTCAGAAGGTAAGCCTGGAGTATCAGTGTGTGGCTCCTGAGTCCCTGCCACTGGCAGGTTAAATCTGTCACTAGCAATGACTTACTGGGCAAAGGGTGTGGGTAGGAAACAGCACTGGACTTCTGTAAGGACATCACTACTTGGAAGCAGAAACAGCTTATGGCAGAATGAACAGAGCAATGGTGGAACTAAGTTGACACAAGGAAGCAAACTTGATCAGAAGATGCAATGACAGGCCCTAGACTGGCTCTTCCTGTGTGGCAGGCAGGGCTACTAAGCACACTTTACAGATGTGGTAGAATGGTTCACTGTGGTGTCCCAGGGAAGGTTCATGGGCAACAGTTGTGCTCTGGGTCATTTCTCCAAGCCAGTGGAATATATGCTATGAAATTATGGATCTCATAAATTTAACTGGGCCACACTAGACATTTGTAGAATGGTTCACTGTGGTGTCCCAGGGAAGGTTCATGGGCAACAGTTGAGCTCTGGGTCATTTCTCCAAGCCAGTGGAACATATGCTATGATGTTATGGATCTCATAAATTTAACTGGGCCACACTAGACATTAGAAGGACAGTGCCGAGAAATGGCTAGGAAGGAAACAGCCCAGTGGGGTCCTCTCTGTGGGGATGGAGGTTACTCTATCCACTGACATCCCAGAGTCGCTCATGCCTTCCCATGGAGGAAAGCTTCTCTATCACCAGGTAGTTGATGTGTTCAGAAGCAGAGCAGATAGGAAACATCAACTAACAAAGAAATGGGTTATTGCTCTCAACTTTTCACCCTACATGTTTTGATAAATCTTGAGGAGAACCTTGGCAGATTCCATGGCAGGTGAGTGTGACAGAGGTGGAGCAACAAACACACTAGGCAGACAGAGCTTAGTCAGAAGTTTTATTAGAAAATGGGGTGGGAGAAAAGAGGTAAAGAGACACAGACACAGAGACGCAGAAAGGACATAAGAGGGAGACAGGAAAAGTCCTGTATGCCCCAAGGCAATAGTGGGAAAGACAGAGAGAAGGAGAAATAGAGAGGGGGGAGAGACAGAGAGATCAGGAATCAGAGAGCAGAAAGACAGCAGAAACGAGAGGGCTGGAAAGAGATCATAAGTGGGCAGAGGTCTTTCTTTTAAAGGGGTCCTTTGCACCTGGGATGACCGAGGGCAGGACAGCGGTGGTTTTGTTTTGCAGTGCTGGGCTAGAAAGGGAGGGGGTTTGAGAGTGTTAAAGGAACACTCAGAAGGGATTGAGGTCAAAATATTTGAAAACTGCCACCTTTACAGAAGCCCTTCTGGAAACTGGCCCTCATTGATGGTGCCTTGCCTCCTGCAGCCATCATTACTGTCATAGTGGTCCAGACAGACTCACACTGATCCATCTCTATCGAGAGAGCTAGAACACTGTTGAGTTTTCTTCCAGCGATTCTGAAAAGAGTCTTTCAGGGGTGGGAAAGCCGAGGGCTCCTCTCCACAGTAGCAATCAGGGAATGTTGGCTAATGGAGAGGAAGAACCCTGCTGGAACAATGCTCAGCCAGATGAAATCATCAGAGAATTCCCTAGGGGACATCTGCAAACAGTACAATCTCCTCTTCCTCATGACCGTCCACAAATTACCACTTACTACCGGGACCAGAAAGCTGCCCTCTTGTTTCTCTTTATCTTTCCAGCATCTGCATTGGGACAGAACATGACTGTCAACCTCAGTGCCTCCATGTCTACATTTGCTACCCTGCCTGTTCTCCCAACTGCCCCCCAGCCAACAATCCAATTATTCTGGGAGGCCCCAGAACCCCTACTGACTGAAGGCATCTCTCCCTGGAATCCTCTAGTGTTATCTGCCTTGCCTGGGATGTCTTTGGCGGCAGAAGCTGGAAGTACAACACTGGATATAGCTGTACCTCTGAACATTGTGCAAGTGGGGACACCAGGCAGGCCTGTACAGCCCATGCCCCATGCCAACATTGTCCTCACAGAGGAGTCCCTCAATTTTAATGTCCCTGTGACCCAAGGTGGGGGTATGGGTTGCCCTGCTTCCCTCTTCATAACAGCAACTGCTGCGAATACCTTCATAAATGATCAAATTGCTTCGGACGTCCAGCCCCAAGAAGGATTGTGGGTCCTGGAATCTCACCCTCCAACCACACAGCCAGTTGTCCAGCTGGTTCCTGTCAGGTCCCCAGTGAACTCAGCACCACCTCCAATAGGAGCATTTGGAGAGAGTTGTCCAGCCAATGTCCAAACCAACTCTCCAGAAAACTGCTTGACCAACCCAGACAGTGTCTATGGGAATATCCGGCACTGTCAGTATATCAAGACTCTGGTCCAGCAGCACCTGTCCCAGACTCCAGACGTGTCAGCTTTCTCCTGCTTCTTCATGTGAGTGTCACCTGTGCCTGGAATATCCTACTGGGCTCCAACATGATGAGTGTGTGGTGGAAAAGGAAGGTGGTGAAGGTAACAGAACCACTCCAGAGTCACAATCTGAGAAATAGAGGTGTCACATGGGGGATCCTGGAGTCCCAGAAATCTAGGGTTTGGATTTATGCCTTTCACTCCATTTGGTAGTTCTTTGCCTTAGCATTTTATCTTCTAGCATTGACCTTAGTGTTTAGAGCCCACAGCATGTCACAACCAGGATGGGCAAGAGTGCCGGATTCCAGAAAGACCTGTACATTTGTCCCTCAACCCATGTCTAAACAATTTCCCTTAAGCCAGAAAGGCTCTAGAA